GCACCCAAAAAAATTAAGTAGCCAGTAATGGATCTCCGAGTTGACACACAATTAGCCCAATACGAGTCTAAATATGCATGTAAATCTAGTGAACTGGCAAAAGAAAGAAGAATTCCTTGACTTGGATTTTTTCTTTAGATACTGAAGAAGGCAGAGTGTTGCATCCAAATGAGGTTTTTCTTGGTGATTGCAAAAACTGACTAAGAATATTTACCATAAAACATATATCTGGCCTAGTAATGGTGAGGTAAAAGAGACAACTCACCAAATGATGGTGTTGGGAAGGGTTATCCAACAACTGACCATCACTCTCAATAAGCTTAAAATTTTTTTTCCATTAGTGTGTTAGCAATTTAGAGCCAAGAAGACCAGAATCATCGAGAAGATCAAGAGTGTATTTGCGTTGACATAGATAAATGCCTCATTGGGAGCGAGCTACTTCAATACCCGAAAAATACTTAAGTAAACCTCCTTAATCTTGAATTGACTAAATAAAAATTCCTTCACACGAGCAATGAGATGAGGATTGTTGCCTGCAAGAATCATGTCATCAACATATAATAAAATGAAGATGGTAGAAGAGCCTCCTTAAGTTGAAATAAAGAGTAATCTGCTAGAGACTATTGAAAACCAATGGCAAGCAAGACACTAGAAAACTTGGAAAACCAGTTATGAAAGGCTTGTTTCAAGCCATAAAGAGATCAATTAAACTTACAAATACGATTGTGCCCCCCTTGTCAAGGATGACCTGGCGAAAGTCTCATGTATACCTCTTCATGTAAATCACCTTGTAAGAAAGCATTATAAATATCCATTTGATGCAAAGGCCACTATTTAATAGCAACAATAGCCAAAAGAAAACTAACAGTGACAATCTTGGCAACAGGGGCAAAAGTATCATGATAATCAATTGGACAATGATAGGCTTACCCTCTACCGTTACACATCTATCCACACACTAATGGAATCCGTCAAGTACACTAACGGAATCCATCAAGTACACACCGTTCATTCTTCTTCTTTCCCTCACCTCTTTCTTTCTTCTTCTTTTTTTTTTTTTTTCTCTCTCTCAGTGGAGAACCCGAGTTGGGTTCTCAAGAACCCAGGTCAGGTTCCCACCAGAGAACCCGGGGTTCTCTGGTGGGAACCCAACCTGGGTTCCTTGGTGACTAGAGAAATAAGAGGAGAGAGAAAAAAAGGCTGGGTAACAAACAACGTCAGTTTGCATAACGGAGATAGTTAGGGTGTAATAAAATGTGTAACATTAGAGTGTGGGTATATCTTTATCCTAATCAATTCCCTCTACTTGAGTGTAACCCTTTGCTACAAGGCAGGCTTTAAATCTCTCTATGTTGCCATCAGATTTGCGTTTGATCTTATAAACCCATTTGCAAACAATAGGCTTCTTATCAGGTGGTAAAGGAATCAATGACCATGAATGTGTGTCTTCCAAGGCTCGAAGTTTTGTCTGCATAGCTGTTCTCCACTCATGACATTGAATAGCTTGGGTAAAGGAGGAAGGTTCAATGTCATAAGCAATGGTATTAAGGAAGGCACAATGAGCAGGAGAAAATCGAGCATAAGACAGATAATAGAAATAGGACAAGGAGTACCTAAGGATGAAGAAGCTGATTGATCATGTATGTTAGAGTAGTGATAGTCTTTATACCTTGTGGGAACTTGTTTATGATGTGAAGAACTTTGTAATTCTGGAAGGACAACAAGTGTTGGTTCGGAGACATTTGGTGAATCTTGTGGTTCAAGAGAAGGTAATGTAGTAGAGATATCTGTTAGAGGTACGGTTAGAGAAGAATCTTTTGTGGCAAGGGCTGTAGAAGCTGCAAGGTAGTAGAGACCATCATGCTCCTTGGCCTAACCAATCCTTTTCTTCGTCGACAAGTTTTGGAAAATGCACAAGTTAGGAAAAAAAAATCACAGAACAATGAAGTGCCTTAGTGATTTGTTGAATAGATAATAAGTTGAATTTGAATGAAGGAACATAAAGAACATTATCTAAATGAAAAGTGGAATTAAAGTAAATGGATTCGAAATGTGTAACAAGGACAAAATTGCCATTGGGAAGTTTCACAGAGGGACCAAAATAAGGTTGCAAGTTTTCTAAGGTTGCAAAAGAACCTTCAGTATGGTTAGTGCAATCGAGTCTACAATCCAAAGCACATTCATATTTGAAAAGTTAATATTGATACCTGCCATATTAATAAGTGGGTTGGAGGAGGTTGAGACACCAAGTTGAATAAGAGAAAGTAGTTGCTTTATCTAGTCTTGAGTAAAGGTGAGTTGCAGCAGAACTTATCTCACCATGGTCAATAGCAGTGGCTAGTAGTTGCAATTTAGAAGAAGTTATATGCTGTTTAATGGAGTTTCACTAGAAACGAGAGCCAAAATCTTTGAAATCACGCTTTATTGATGTTGCTTGATAATTACGATTTCCAGGCTTCTTGCGACACTGTGAATCAAAATGTCCATCTAATCCACAATAGTCATAATGATAGAATGGCCGATCGGATTTATTTTGACTTTGTTGATTAAAGCGATTAGTAGATTGTGATTCGTGATTATGTGAAATTGCCATTGCTGATTGCTCAAGGTATGAAGGGGATGCCATAGATTGGATATTTCATTGTCGTTCATCTTGTAACATTAAAGACAATGCTTTTGTGATTGTTGGTAATGTTGTCATTCTCAAAATCTAACTCCTTAAATTAGCATAAGAATCATTGAGCCCCATTAAGAATTGCATCAAATGATCTTACTCTTCTAGCATGGTGATTTCAGCAGCTACTCCACAAGAGCAAGTAAGATATGATTTATAAATGGCAAGTTCATCCCATAGCGTTTTCAAACCTGTATGATAAGTTGTCATAAAATCATTCTGCTATAGATGATTTACAATCGATCTCTAAATCTCAAAAATCCGAGGAGATTTGCACTGGGAGAAATGGTCTTGTAAATCTATCCACACTACACGGGCATTTTTCATAAACACAACACTGTTCGCAATTTCCTTCAAAACAACATTAAGAAGCAATGTTAGAACCATACTATTGCATCGACTCCATATTGCATGATTTGGAGAAGTTGTTGCTGGTTGTGGGATACAACCATCTATGAAACCAAGCTTATTTTTGGCTTCAAAAGCTATGGTTATGGCCCTGCTCCATGTGGGATAATTATCTCATTACAAAACTTGAGAAACAAGAATAGTTCCAGGACTATCTGAATGGTGCAAATAAAATGGTGATGAGGGATCTAATTCATTATTAGCTAGTGTAGAGGGGGCTATGGATTCGGTAGATATGGTTAGATAAAAAAAAAAAAAATGAAGTCGCAGGAAGAATTCCTGCTCTGATACCATGTAAGTTGTTGAATGTGCTGAATGTATATTATTTATTTATAATGTATATCACTGTACATATATATACAAGAGAACCATATCAAAATCATAACTTAGCTAACTTTATGCCTAGAGTCTAAGAGAGTTATAACTATATACAATATGCTCCTGATTTTGAGGGATTTCTAGCAGATACTGTTTATACTAGATACTGTTTGTATTAGTGACCAATAACATAAATTAGTCACAAATACAAAGTATAGTTATAACAAATTGAGAATTAGTAACTATTTTCAATCACAAAAAATTCGTTTTCTTGTAGTGTCTAGTACTTTCTCCCACAACATATATTCCCACCCCATATCAGAATCAAGACTGGATGGGGATGTGGGTGGGGGTGGGGGAGAAGGAGGCGCCATTATCGTCTCTAGATCACTTCCAACTTTGGGGAAGGGAGGTTGTGAGACCTGTGAAGGAAGTGCTGTTGCCTGAATGTTGTGCATAGAACTTGCAGTTTCCAAATTGGGGTGTTTCCCTAAACGTCCGATTAAGTTGCGGCTGCTTCCAACCATGCTTGGCCTATGGCTGAAAGATTTCTTTGATGCCTGCAAATTTTAACAGTAACTTGGTAAGTTGAATGCATTTAGGTTTATTAATTCTTTTCATAAATAGCAAAAACAAAAATTTCTCTAGTTAGGGATTGAGACTTACCACTTGATTGGGTGTGTAATGTTTATCTCTAAGTTGGACCAATTCCTTTGACTGAATTCCAATCATCTCATCCTTTAACGTTCCAATTTCAAACTCCAGTGCCTTTTGCTTGGACTTTAGTTGTCGTTTTTTTACCTAATAATAATAAAAATGTACCACAATAATGTTCAGGGATGGCAAGACCAGAAGGAAAAATAATTCACAATTAATTTGAACACTTTATTTTGAAAAATAATTGGTACACACCCAGTTTAATATACTTTTTGATACTTATTTTGGTTTAGTTATTAAAATATAATATAAATATAGTCAATTCAGTAGGTTGTTGTATCCTACATGTATAGTTACATTTTAAAGTTTATTTGCTTTTAATTTTTTATTTAAAAATAATGATTTTTTTAATAAGAGTATTATGCAGTATGTTAAAGTAGAGCGTGCACCAATCAATTTCCTTTTTCTTTTTTTTTTTTTGTTCCAATTCAAAGATAAAATCTTGTAGCTGGATTTTACTTTTAGAAAAACCAATAACTCTAATCAAATAAATTTTTTCACAAAATATAAAAGTTGAAATTAATAAGAAATTAAAAATAATTTCCTTTTTTGGTATTTATGTTCAAGGTGTCTTCAAGTCAATTTTCACACACCTCAAGGCTAATCTTTCTCTAGATGATTTTAAAGATGCACCACCTACATTGACCTGATGCATTCAAGGAAATTAATCTCCTTATATGTGGATCCCAAAATTTAAATTTTAGACCTAGCCTATAAGACAACCCTTGCTTATCAATGGATCTAACCCTTAGGGTTTGAATCAACAATAATATCAAACAGTTCATAAGTTCTTGCTTTTCTAGTTAGCCAAGTTAAGCGTAAACTTACAAGTTTATTCTCGTATTCCTTCTTCCACTTGTCAAGTTCCTTTGATTGAATTTCAAACTGCTGATTCACTAAAACATTTTCTTTTCTTAGGGATTCATTCTCAACCTCAAGTTTCTTCAAATTGGACTTCATTCGTTGTTCATTTTCCTGGACATACCATAACAAAATTCAACACTTATATTACAAAAGGAAAATAAGTTGTGGTAGTTACAAACAAACTTACATGTTGCTTGATGAATTCCTGGTCCAATTCGTCGAACTTATTGTATAAAAAAAGAGAGAAAAATAAGGTTCAAAAGTTAAGAGGCAAACTTACATGTTGCTTCTCGTACTTCTTCTTCCATTTGTCAAGTTCCTCTGATTGAGTTTGAAACTTCTGAGTGGCCAAAATGATTTCATTTTTTAGGGATTCAATTTTTGCCACTTGTGTCTCGAAGGTAGATTTCATTTGTTGTTCATTTTCCTGAATGTACCATAAAGAAAGTCAAAACTTCTTGAAACAAAAAGAGAAACTATGCTTAAGAAGTTAGGGGTAAACTTACGTATTGCTTCTCATACTTTTTCTTCCAATCATCAAGTTCCTCTGATTGAGTTTGAAACTTTTGGGTTACCAACATATTTCCATGTTTTAGTGATTCAATTGTAGCCTCTAGAGTCTTCAAGGTGGATTTCATTTGCTGCTCTATTTCCTAAATGTACCACAACAAAATTCAAAATTTGTAGAACAAGAAAAGAGAAAATAAGCTTCAAAAGTTAGGGGCAAACTTACATGTTGTTTTTCGTACATCTTCTTCCATTTGTCAAGTTCCTCTGATTGAGTTTGAAACTTATGAGTGGCCAAAACATTTTTATTTTTTAGGGATTCAATTTTTGCCACTTGTATCTCGAAGGTCGATTTCATTTGTTGTTCATTTTCCTGAACGTACCATAAGGAAAGTCAAAACTTCTTGAACAAAAAGAGAAAACTATTCTTTAGAAGTTAGGGGCAAGCTTACGTGTTGCTTCTCGTACTTCTTCTTCCAATTGTCAAGTTCCTCTGATTGAGTTTGAAACTTTTGAGTCGCCAAAACACTTTCATGTTTTAGGAATTCAATTTTAGCCTTCAGAGTCTCCAATGTGGATTTCATTTGTTGCTCAATTTCCTAAACGTACCATAATAAAATTGAAAACTTTTAGAACAAAAAATGAAAAAAATGAGCTTCAAAAGTTAGGGGCAAACTTACGTGTTCCTTCTCATATTTCTTCTTCCATTTGTCAAGTTCCTTTGATTGGGTTTGAAACTTTTGAGTGGCCAAAATATTTTTATCTTTCAGGGATTCAATTGTTGCCACTTTTCTCTCAATGGTAGATTTCATTTGCTGTTCATTTTCCTAAACGTATCGTAAGGAAAGTCAAAAGTTCTTGAACAAAAAGAGAAAACTATGCTTAAGAAGTTAGGGGTAAACTTACTTGTTGCTTCTTGTACTTCTTCTTCCAATTGTTAAGTTTGTCTGATTGAGTTTGAAACTTTTGAGTTGCCAAAACACTTTCATGTTTTAGTGATTCAATTTTAGCCTCTAGAGTCTCCAAGGTGGATTTCATTTGCTGCTTGATTTCCTAAAGCGTACCATAATAAAATTCAAAACTTGTAGAACAAAAAGAGAAAAAAAAAAAAAAAAAAAAAAAAAGAAAAATAAGCTACAAAAGTTAGGGGCAAACTTACATGTTGCTCCTTGTACTTCTTCTTCCAATTACTAAGTTCCTTCGATTGGGTTTGAAACTTCTGAGTTGCCAAAACACTTTCATTTTTTAGGGATTTCATTTCAACCTCTAATGTCTCTAGGCTGAACTTCATTCGCTTTTGCTTTTCCTGAACATGTTAAATTTGTCCTCTTATGTCAAAACTCAAACTTCATGTTTGGTTAGAAGTGGTTTGTTGGGTAAATTAGATAGAAATCATAACAAACAAGTGAAAGGAGTAGAAAAACCTTTTTAAGTACAATTAACTATTTCTCCGATTACCAAAAAATATATATATATATATATTTTCTCTTTGTCTTTTATAAAAAGAAAATTGTTGGTGTCATTCTTCATAACTTGCAATTAACTCTACTTCCTTCGTTTTAAAATAATAATTATTTTTTTTGAATTTTTTTATAAATTAAGGATTTAGAGACGATTCATATATTTACCTATATTATCTTAAAAAAAAGTTAAAAGTAAGGTCAAAACTTTTGTGATAGTATAATTAATCAAAATAAATAAATAATAATAATAAGGTTAATTAAAGTTTAAAAAATATTTATTTACTTTAAAAAGTGATAATTAATTTGAGACAAATTTAAAATCTAAAACGACAATAATTTTAAGATATAAGCACTATATATAATTTAGCAATAAACAATCCCATCAACTGAACATGTTAAAATAACGAAGAGAGAGAAACAAAGACATGTAAGGTGTATCAATGCTAAAGATAACGTACAACATCACATGTGATTCCCCTAATAAAAGGTATTGACGAAATACTATAGTTATAATACTATATGATATTATAAATGTATAATATTACATAATATTATATAATTATCTTTTTTTATTTAAATAGTAACAAAGCCACATACAGATTAGGAGCGGCCATGGCCCCCTTGGTTTTTTGAAAAATTTTAATTATCACCGTATACTTCTAAAAAATATAAATAGCATCTTAAGATTTTAAATATAAAATAATAATTTGTTAATTTTTTGAGAAACTAATAGATTATATCTACTGCCTTTCTTTTAGTGGCAGTTAAACGTAGCTCTCATGGTTAGCATGGTATTTCTACAAAATCTTTTTAAATTATTTTGTATTTTATAATTTTTTTAGAAAATTACTTTGTATTTTATGTTTCACCTTTCATTTTTCTTTAATGATATTCAAAGAAAAAATAAAATTTTCTTTACTTTGTACACGTGTTTGGTTATAGGTGAATGGTATGTTTTGTTTTTTAGTGCCGGAAACCACAACTTACTCATAAATAATGAAGTTTTTAATTTTCATAATATCTTTGATAACTATCATAATGTTAATTGGTTATTAGAGATTTGTGTCATGTGAGTTGTTTTATCTCCCAACTAAGGGCTGCACCCTACAAGTGACTAGAATTTAGTTTGGGTACAAAGGCAATAATTAATTTCATTGAAAATTATCTAATAGCATGGGATCGGTAACTCTAAAATTTAGTAAGTTAATTACTTAAAACATCTTATTAACAAGAGTTTTAACGAAATCAGACTTTTGGGTTCAAATGGTTCGGACCCAAAGCTTAAGATGTTTGAGTTTGTTGGTTGGGGTTTCAAATCCAACCAACGCCTTAAAAATCCCTTCCCCAATCCCCCAAAATTGTAAA